ACACACACACACACACACACACACACACACACACACACACACACACATACACACTCCAAAGATAATGGACATCTTTCTTCTCTTGACACTTTGAAAAACAAAAACATTCCACACAGATAGCCTGAACATGTTTTTTTTTTTTCCCTGAAATAAACAGGCCCTGCTCTTCACAATGCCCATTAATGAAAAGAAACCTAGAAAACACAAAACAATCGTGATCTTTTTTCTGTAAAAAAATGTTCTTGTTCATTTATTGAATATGAATAAAGATCTACATGAAGAATGGTTGGGCCTGTGCATAGTTGTTATGGATACAAAGTGTATCTCTGGCATTATCACTTGAAAATTTGGGGCACATCTGTAATCAATTCAATTCTTTCTGATGACACCTTCCTCAACTGCTCAGTGCCTTCATGTAGGTACTCATCATTGTGGATCTTCACCTATGCTTATCTTGTCTGGGCCGCTGCTGAAGCTCTTGGCTTTTTACTTCCCTCAACAAATAAGCTAGCCCTTTGTCTTATTTATTTAGCACCTGTCTTTTTTTTTTTTTGTAGGATGATCTGATCAATTTAAAAGTATTCATAAGTTAGGCAATAATGTTTTAATCTTCTCAAATCCCACATGTCTATAGGCATCTTTGAGAAACAATACTTTAACCCAAGGAAACACCAAATAATATGAATTTCAGGAACCATGACAGGCAGGGCAACCAAGTAGACTCGGACTGTGGGGGCTTCTTAGCAACTTAAAAATTATATCATGTAAATGGCTATATTTTCTGCATATCCATAGCCCTTACATATATGATCAATAGCCAGTCTACCAGTTATCATTTCAGTTCTTTTATTCTTGATCTATGGAAGATTATTCGACCTATCACATTTAATAACATGTGACATCTTTTTTTCAGTCTATACCATGTCTGTGAATTTGGGGATCTTCCTCCCATGGCATTTGGCCAGATATCGATCCAGTAATCAGTCTAACTGTACTTTCCAGTCCTAGTAAAATTATATATGTATACACATGTATGTTTGCACACACACACATTCTCCCTATCTGCATTTAGGTTGCCGTAACTTTCCTGGTTTACCCTTTTCTTAGTGGGAAGTAAAAAAATGCAGAACATTGTATTATGCCACCGATGTATTTCAGAACATATGAGAGTGTTTTATTGCATTTCTAGGAAAGAGTGAACTAGAAAATAATTCTGCTATATTTGGGAGAACTCACACTTGAGTGTCCAATTTAGAATAGTAATCTGTAGTTTAAAAGTATTTGCTTTTTAATTAATATTTCCTAGGTTTCTCTCTTACCTCTTGTCATCTTTACTCCTATCAAGTAAGATTTTTCATGCTTATTTTTTTCTGTGGTTAGTTGCCTAGTGGATATTCCAAACTGGATGTTCCAGAGACATCTTACATTTAACATGTCTAAAACAGAACTCATTATCTTTCTCCCTAAACCTCCTCCTCTTCCAAACTTCCTTATTTTTGTTAAAGGCAACACCACATTTTCAATGTCTCAGGTTTATAATCTCAGCATTATCTTATATGCCTAACTCTTAATTAACCCGTGTTTATAATCAATTGCCAAATCTTATCATTCTACCTTTGTAGCATCTCTTACATCCTACCCCTTTTTCTCCGCTCACATAGCTACCATCTTAGTTGAGGCCCTCGTGATCTCTCCTCTAGATTATTGTAACAGATTCTTAACTGGTGGGCTTGCCTCAAGTCTCTCACCACTCCAGTTCATTCTACACATCACTGCCAAAGTAATTTCCTTAAGTGCAGATCTAACCATGTGACTCCCCCACTCAACCAACTCTCATGGCTTCCTATTGCCTTTAGAATGAAATAGACATTCCTTTGTTTAGCTTTTAAAGCCCCACCTGTCCCCCACCTCCCTTTCCAGCCTCATCGAACATTACCACTTTCCTTCTCCGGCACTATGTAAACTAGTTAAACTACCTTTTTCTCTGTTCTCCTCTCAATACATTCCATTTTCATCCCCTTGCCTTTGTTACCCATTCTGGAGTGTTCTCCCTCCATACCACTGCCTCATAGAGTTTCTGTCTTCCATTAAGACATAGGTTAGATACCATCTTCTACATGAGTTTTTAAAAATCTCTTCAACTGGGAGTGCTCTCCCTTGCAAACTACCTTATATATTGCCACTTTGTGCATATATACTTTATATTTATGATGTGTATATTATTATGTATACTTTTGTTCCCCCATTAGAACATAAACATTGTTTGAATAAATTTCAATTCTTTGTATTTGTATCCCCAGTGCTCGGTATTATTTATTAAGATTTTAATAAATACTTGTTGATTGAATGCTTCTGATTTGAGAAATTTCAAACTTTTTTTACATATGGGAAAAAATGAGTTAAGCAATCCCAGGACTATCATCAGGGCCCCATGATTCCCGACTCTTTGGTTTCACAACTTATGACAGAGACTCTCTTCAAGGACAGACACAGTATAGAGGAAATCAAGATTGCAATAATTCATAAAAGGATGTGAAAGGTATAGTTTCACTTCTAGAGTCTAAAGAAAATCAATTGGTTGATTCCAAAATTGGAAATTGGTTGAACCAGCTCTACATGGTAAACTGATATAATTTTTGATATAATTTTTATACCATCTCAAAAACTTTGAGTTATTTTTATATTAAAGTAAGTTTTATAACTTAGTTTTATTGTGTGTTACCTTTTGTATTTCCCTTAAAGCAAAGAGTTAATTGTATATTTATTAAAACTTACCTATAAATCGGATGATCCTTCGGAGCAGAGGGCTCAGGTAACAGCACTCTCCAGTCAAAATCATTTTCTCCTGGGCGATCAAGGTTTCTCTGGTAGACTTTATGAAATACATGGACAGCTCCCCGATAAAAATCTGGGAAAGTAAAGTTTGAGAAATTTCAAAGCAGAGAACTGCATAGTAAGAGGCTAACATTGTTATGAAACCTTCTGAGGAATCTCAAGCTATTTTGTCAAATGAGAAAGATGGAGTCCTAGGCAACAGCTTGCTTTGAGCTGTTCAAGAGAACTAAGGAAAGAGTTCTTGGATAACATCAGTTGTATCCATGTTGGAATGCTAAAATCTTTGGTGAAACAAAATGCACTGAAAATACAAACCTTTTAAATATGCTGGAAGGGTGTGTGTGTGGTCTATGATATGGCTGAGCATTTACATGCTTTCACTGTGAGTGTGTGTGATGGTGTCAGTAGGGAGGGTCAAAGTGAGGAATACATTAGTCTCTAGAATTCTGTCTACACAATGGCAAAACAATTAACTAATGAACAAATAAATAAACATAAAGATGATTAATACTCAAGAACAAGGTTCTTAACTAGGGATCCATGCACTCATTTTAAAATATTTTGAAAATGATTTCAGTGTAATTGGCTTCCTTTGTAATTCCCATGTATTTTATGCATTTAAAACCATTATTTTAAGAAAGGGGTCCATAATCTTCAGGGCAGCTAGGTATAGTAGATAGAGTGCTGGGCCTGGGGTCAGGAAGACCTGAGTTCAAATCTGACCTCAAATACTTACTAGTTGTGTGACCCTGGGCAGATCACGAAACCCTATCTGCCTCAGTTTCCTCATCTGTAAAATGATCTGGAGAAGGAAATGGCAAACTATTCCAATATCTTCTCCAAGAAAACACAAAATAAGGTCATGAAGAGTCAGGCATGAATGAACAAAACAACAACAAGAATAACAACCACCACCATAGGCTTTACCAGATTACCAAAGGGGTTCATGACACAAAAAAGATTAAGAACTACTGGTTTAGAACTGGAATAAACTGTGCACACTAGAAGTAGTAGATATTTAAAAAGGCACTTAGGTAGCACAGTGGATAGAGGGCTGGGACTGGAGTCAGGAAGACCTGAGTTCAAATCTGACATTATATACTTACTTGCTATGTAGCCTTAGCCAAGTCACTTAACTTCTGTTTGCCTCAGTTTCCTCAAGTGTAAAATGGAGATAACATCAATAATACCTCCCAGGGTTGTGGTAAGGATCAAATAAATTAATATTTGCAAATACTGGCACATGGTAGGTGCCACATAAATGTTAGCTATTATTATTGTAAGTATATCTTAATTGATTTTTTTCCTATTTGCTGTTGTCTCTTAAGTTACCCTTCCTTCTCTGGCCATTCCTGCCTTCTCTCTATCTACTTTCTTTTTCAACTCTAAAAAATCCCATTTTGGTTATAAAAGGGCCCTGGATCTTTTGTTTTATAGCGTGAACAATGGACCAAAGTCAGGGGATAATTAGAATGAAATGAAATCCCTTTCATATTCCATTTTATGTCTCACTGCTCAAGGCCTATTTTCATTTCAAAATCAGAATTGCTCATTTTCTAGAATGCTTATGCCATCACTTTGAACTTATCCTATCTGGCTACCACGAGAATGTGGAAATAGGGTAGGGACCAGTGTTCTAGAGTGCAAGTGCCCTGGAAGGAAATGAGCAATGATTCATTGGCTAAACTGGTCATACCTACTTAGTAACTGAGGCCAAAGGGCCAGTCACCACAGCAGAGGCTAGGAGGGAGAACAGGCATATGACAAAGAGCAAATATTCATGCAGGCAGTTCTGTGGGAACCATATTCCTGTCAGCTTGTTCTGTTACAGTTAGGTAGCCTGGTCCTATATTCATCATCATGATACACTGCTTTGTTGCTTGGAATCTGACCAAATTCTATTTACAGCTTATTGAGACGGGTTTTGATAAATAGTAACAATGGCTGAATGTATGGCAGGATATTTGTATGGTACCGTGTGTTCTGGGGTCTCCAGTGTCTGAGATCCCTTCTTCAAATGGCCTCTTGTGTGAATCTTTGTGGTGACTCCTTTGGGCTTAATTCCTTTGGAAGTGACACAAGAGATTTATGTAGGACCTCAAGCTCTGAGCAGGGACCAGCAAGGCAGAGGATGGGGTGGGTGAGAGTGTCTGCTTCTACTTGTTGATGGCAGGAAGAAAATAAGGAATTGGCTTTGAGGCTTTAAATTTTTGTTATAAAAAGATGACACCGGAGGAAAAAAAATATCCTCTCAATTGTGTGGATCTGACTGAAGGCTACTCATAGTACCAAAGGGATGTGAATCTTAATGGCTCCTTAAACAAAATATCTTGAGAACTTCATATCTCATATACAAACTGTTTTCTCTCTCTCTGTCTCACCCCCCTCTCTTTCCCCCTATGTAAACACACATATATTCTGAGAAATCCATAAGGTTTCCCACTACACAAAAAATGTTTAAGAAACACTACTCCAAAAGTTACAAATTGTGACACTAGAGAATCTGTTCCTTATTTTAAATTATATATATATATGTATATGTATATATATATGTATACACACTATATTTGGGGAGGAGGGAAGAGGGGACAGAGAGAGGGAAAGAGAGAGGAAGAGGAGTTATTTAACTCCTTCATTTTGTAGATGGGAAAACTGAGGCTTAGAGAAGGGAAATATGTTATCTAAGGATATACAGCTGGTAAGTTGCAGAGCTGGGATCTGAACCCAGGTCTTCTAACCTCAAATCTAGGGCCCTTTCTTTAGCACCAGACCATCTTCATTGTAAAACCATTCACATGGCAGATGAGTACGTGAAATATAACTCTCTTCCACAATCATATGGATATACTCAACACTAAACATAGCTGTACACCCAGCAGCTGGCACACAAGTGTGACTAGTTTTATAGTTTTCTGTTTCTATGGTAATATGGCAAACAATTCTCTTCCAAAGCAGTTCAGGCTTCCCACCCCTAAGGAGTGAGCTGCATGAAAGTGAATTTCCTTCTGTATTTTAATACTAGACATTGTCTGACACACCTGCCTCCCCATTCAGGAGAATGTGGAGATTAGCAGAAGTCTCACAGCAGAAGCCCATCAAGATTATCTGAGCTTAGAAAGCCTGTGCTCAATTAAAATACCCACAAACGTTTCCTATTCACAGAATATAGACGCACATGTGCACACCTGTATATGCTAGCACACACACACATATTCACAAACGCACACACCAGTCTCTTGCACTGTTTGGCCCATTCTTTGGACGTGCTTTATTTCTGGTTTTCTGACACTTGCTTTGTTTGGCCCTAAACTATTTGTTTTACCTTCACCCTTGTGTGTCATTGCTTGTTTACTGATGATTGCTTTACTGAGGTTTATTGACACCTTCTTTGCTTCTGGTCCTTCTTGGACTCCATAAGGGGAAACTTTTGTTGTTCACCTCTAAGATGCAGTGGTCTGTCCTTTGTTTTTGGCCTTTTTGGGATGCTAAATCAACCCCCCCCCCCCAATAAGCCATAGCTCTTGACCCTGCTTTGGTATCAGTCAGGCCCAGATGCATGATACAACAGCATGAAAGACCTTGGTCAATGCCATGGAAAGCTCATGGCTTGCCCCATGCTGCTGTCCATGGTCCTGAACAAAAATTGCCTTTGAAAAGTAAGAGGAGTTCTGCCTTGTATGCCAGACCATGCAATCACACGGTTTCTATGCAGGACTTGATTCTGCTTGAAGCAAGGAATTAAATGGGCTGAGAGGGTGTGTCTCTCATGCTGCCTGGCTTCCAATTCACACCATGTGCAGCCTTTGCTCAGTGTTCCAGATTTCTGATTGGTTTTGGCAGGGGCTGGATCCCTCCATCTGTGCTCCTGCCATGCACACACAGTCCACACCCATCACAGAGCTCAGTGAGCTGTTGGGCACATGCGATTTTTCCATATGCCTGGCCCTGGCTGCCCCATACACTCTGCCCTGTCTGGCTGTTTTGCTGCCAGACATAGTATAACTCATAGCAAATGGAATTAGCCTTGGGTGAAAAAAATTGCTGAATCTGCACAGTAGATTTGGCAAACGAATGAACTGGAAAATGAATCCCATTTTCTCTTTTTGTATCTCCTGTCTGTGACTGCTGCTATCCCAAATTAGTTAGTCCACTGACCCTCTGTGTGACTTAAGTGACAAGAGCAACTGAAGATCCAATTTGTGGTACACTACTCGCATCACTAAGAAGCATGCTAACTTCCAGGATATGGACACCTGAATGGCAAAAAGCTGCAATCTAAGCTAGCATGCAGCAGCTTGACTAGGTCCAGAGAAGTCCTGTGTTAATGTTTCACAGGATATTTACCTTTTCATCTTCTCCATGTATTGTCCCTTACATACACTCTGTGTTCCAGTCAAACTAGACTCCTCATCATTGCCTGATGACATATTTCCCACCCCTTCCTCCACTCAAGCTGGCTGCAATGCTGTCCTCCTCCCTGTCCGCATCTTTATCTGTCGAAATTTCAGAGCCCTTCAAAATCAAGTTTAGCTGTTGTTTCCTCCATGAAGTCTTCCCTATTTTTCCCAAGTGAGAGGGCTCCCTCTCTCGCTTTCCATTAAGTCCTCAAATCACATCATCATCAACATTCCTAAGCATTTAAAATCTACTATATTGCAGTTATCTGCATACATATTTCATCTCTGTTAGATTGCCAACACACCTTGAGGAAAGGGATTGTATCTTAGAGCTGTGCATTTTCTCTAGAGGCTAGCAATGTATCTGGTATATAATAGACCCTTAATAAAGGTTAGTTGAATGAGTGAATGGTAGTAGGGAAGAGGAAGTGATAAAAATTGCATTTTAGTAGATTACTCTTAGTGCATGAAATATAAAGGTTACATGGGGAAATGTTTAGAATAATAAGTATTCAAATTATAACATTGTAAGACACAATGTGGATGAACTTATAAATGTATTGTAGAGGAGAGAGAGAGAGAGAGAGAGAGAGAGAGAGAGAGAGAGAGAGAGAG